GCAGCGCGACGACAAGCCAGCCGCACGCCTCAGCAAGCAGCCAATCACCAGCATATGCCGGCCAGGCTCAGCAGCAGTATGAAGCTCAGCAAGCCCGGTATGCAAACAGAAGTGCGACAGCAAGCCAGCCGCAAGCCTCGGCAAGCAGTCAATCACCCGCACATGCGTGCCAGGCTCAGCAACATGAAGCTCAGCACGCCCGGCACGAAAACAGCGGTGCGACAACAAGCCAGCCACAAGCCTGGGCAAGCAGCCAATCACCAGCATATGCGGGCCAGGCTCAGCAGCAGCATGAAGCTCAGCAAGCCCGGTACGCAAACAGCGGTGCGACAGCAAGCCAGCCACACGCATCGTCAAGCAGCCAACCACCAGCACATGTAGGCCAGACTCAGCAACACGAAGCTCAGCAAGCCCGGCACGCAAACAGCAGTGCGACAACAAGCCAGCCACAAGCCTCAGCAAGCAGCCAATCACCAGCATATGCGGGCCAGGCTCAGCAGCAGTATGAAGCTCAGCAAGCTTGGTATCCAAACAGCAGTGCGACAGCAAGCCAGCGGCAAGCCTCGGCAAGCAGTCAATCACCGGCATATGCGGGCCAGGCTCAGCAACATGAAGCTCAGCACGCCCGGCATGCAAACAGCAGTGCGACAACAAGCCAGCCACAAGCCTGGGCAAGCAGCCAATCACCAGCATATGCGGGCCAGGCTGAGGCAAGGGCGGCTGCTGAGGCTGATGCTCAAGCGAAGCGCAGGCAAAACTTGGCTTTTGAAGTTGAACGGCTTTTGAAGCTGAAAGCCCGCGGCCACAGCCAGAATTGGCAGTTGGTGCTGCGATTGCAGCCCGGATTCCGTTCCGCGGAGCTTGATGCTAAGAAGCGCTTCCTTTTGCTGACGCTGCACCCCGACAAGACAGGGCCAATCGCAGAAGCTGCCGGTGGCGAGCAACGCTGTGCAGAGGCTTACAGGATTGCTTTTGCAGCTTACAAGGAAGCGAAGGCCTCCCTGCAGCCCTTCCTGAACCCACCCCAGGCCCCGGTGCCTCCGCCTCCAAATCCAACGTACCATCGAGCTCGACTTGGAGTGGGTCTGGGCTGTGCACACCTGGGCTGCGCATACAGGGTCACCAAGGTGGAATTCGGAGGATTCTGCTGCAAAAAGTGCCATGCAGCCTTCGTGCAGGGAAAGCCAAGTGAGCATGGCAGCCGCTGCAACCATAACCTCGCGTACAACGTGAGGAGAGCTCAGCCAGTTCCTCCCGAGAGGCCCCTGATAGGTAGCTACCGCCCAAGCGCAGTCTGATCAGACTGAGATGCGCGCAGTTTCACGGCTAGATTCTAAATGACACCAAATGTGCATGTTTCATGAAAAGCCGAGAGCTTTGACGCAGCTTGTTTTTGAGGAGTTCATGGTGTGATTTTTGAAGCAGCTGGCAGCACCCGTCAAGTTTCAAGCTACAGGGGATTACAGGGGTCTAGCAAATGGTTGCTCTCAGGTGGAGAGGCTGCCGAAGAGCCCAGGGAGGCTTCGCCAGAGGCCCTCGGTAACAAGAACTGCAGTTTCCACACTCTACTCACTGCGTAGGTCATGTGTATGGGAGGCAAAGTCAGAATAATTTCCCATGTTCACAAAAATTTCGGGGCTGGACACTGGAGGCTGTCCTTTGAGTCGTTGTTGTATGCTCCACACGCCTAGTGTAACTTGACTTCTTATCGAGCACTTGGGACTTCTGATGATTTCTGCAAGAAACCTAGGCACCCCTGATGACTTGTTTAATGTGCTGGCGTGCTTATTCCTGAGAGCAAGAGCAAGCCCACATCAGCTTCGGGTAGAAGCAACGCCAGGCGCCGGTGGCAACCCCGGACAGCCCAGTTCAGGGTACAGATGGCGCAGGACCGCAACATCTGCAAAAAACGCTCAGAGGCAGGGACGTTGCGCATGTTGCGCCATTGCAGGAACGCCAGAAGCAGCCGAGCCTAGGCTTGCAATTCAGACGAAGGAAGGCTTTGGAAGGACTTTGCATCAGTGAAGCCACCGAGCTTCAGGAGCCGGCCCAGAATGAGCTCCCTGCAGAACCTGACGTCCCGTTCGCAACGTTTGCGTCCACTGGCTTGGAGGCGAACTTCGAGGCCATAGCACGGCTGCACATGGCTGCACTGAGTGCAAACGAAGTACCCACTCCTAAACAGACGCAACAGCTGGTGGACCTGGGAGGGGGTTCAGGCAGATGTGGACTTCCCGCAGCTTCGGGCAGCTGTGGACCAGCTTGTGCCTGGAACCTGGATGTCGTATAGGCTCATTGGGAGAGGAGTTGCTCAGGGCTTGCCTTCTTGGTTGCTGGGAACAGCTGAGGCCCTTGCCACTCATTCCGAAGGAGCCGCCCATCCCGCCTCCATCGTTTGCACAGGCACCACTGCTGTCAGCATTACAAAGCACAATCGCTGCTACAGTGCTGCAGCAGCCGCCATTGGCCATGAAGCTTCCGCAGAAATCGGACAGCTCTGCGTGCTGGTAACAGCTGGTACTTCTGACTATTGTTCTTGTCAACAGTTCTCACTGTTCTCACGGCTACCTGACCGCCAGCTCATTCTGCAGCATCTCCGTCTCTTGCCCAGGTGGTGGAGAAGCCGCATTTACGCATACCTCGAGCTGTCGTGGAGCGCTTCTCATTGATCACCCCAACCGATGCGGAAGAAGGCAAGAGAGCGAGCAGTGCAAACGTGATCTTCCCAAGCCGATACTGGGGTAGAATATCTGATGTAGTTCCTGACTGCTTATTAGGATCGTTCGCTTGACATGAACGCGTGACAACTGTGGCAGGTACAGATGAGCCAAGGCCAATTGCTGTTTGCATGGCTCTTGCTGAGAGTGGTTGTTTGATGTAGTTGCCCACGTCAAGCCCCGAATTTCAGGAGCGACAGTAAATCGCCGGCCGAGGATTCTTGGCAAGCATTGTCACATGCAGAAGTTGCGTTTCTCTCTTTGGATGCCTCTTGCATCCTGTTGCCACCAAAACCCTAATTTACAAACCCATTATAGTGGTTTGCATTTCCTTTTCCGTTATCCCCATATCGCCCCAATATAGCCAAAATTGTGGTAGCCGGGCCTTGATTGAGTAGGTAAAGTTTGGCCTAGTTGATCGCTCGAAAGAACAGGTGGGGGGTTTTGTTTGATGTAGATTTCGGTGATAGTTTAGCTCCAAGTCTCCAAGATCAACTTGTGTCAAGTCTTAGCTCCAACCACATCCAGCTATACATAGCAAAGAGGCGCCTCTGTAACATGAGCAACAGGGTCTGCAACGCACAATGGAAGACTTTTTTGATTCTGAGGTCACTCTTCAGCCAACTCGCTGGCTGATTGAGCCCCATGGAAAAGTGCGGCTACTCCTGAAATTCTTCTCAGAGGAGTTGGGCTGGTTATTGTGGATACCCAAACTTCAGATGTTCTCTGCCAAGCCAAGCTGTTGGTTCGGCCTAGCTTTCATCGCAGATGGTGCTGTGATACTAGCGCGGACGTGCTTGGCATGGAGGGCCTGAGTTTCCTTCGCGCTAAAGGGGAGCTCTTGTCGCGTGTTTCAGGTGGCAGCCTCTCACCCCTGGCATTTTCAGATCCAGTTTTTGTAGCAAGTTTTGGCTTGAAGTGCTCGCTAGCATCAATATCTGATGAAAGAACTGGCCAGACCCAGCATCGGTTCCCCGTTTGAGAAGCATGTGATACGCCAGTACCCGTGAAGGAGATCGGAACCTACCAGGCATCCCTGAGTTTCGAGGTTGTTGGAGGCGCCCAGCCAGCTAAGCTGAAAGAAGTCTTTGTTCTTGATATGCTGGACCACAGGAATCCACGAGAACGCGCCCGTTTCTATCGCAGCCTCCGGCATAACGGCGTTTCCAGGCATCTCTGGCAAACCTGGCAGCTTGCAGTGGGTACCACAGACATTGTAGTCGTTATCGTTATGGCTAGCGACGGAAAGTGCCTGCATCACGCATGGCTGTGACCACGGCTACAACCACAAAGTATGCAAGCACTTCACTGCTGCCGTGACCCTGCTACACGTACGTACTATACGGTTTCTGCCAGCTACTTCCGTTGTTGCTGCCGGAAATGCTAGTCATGTCATCAGGGATACAGTGGTTGGCCTGTATGTCAGTACATGTCGGTTGCAACTTTCTTTCTCGGGGGCATTTGCTGTTGTGCTGGTTGTCTTTGATAGGCTTCTTTAATCTTTGCCTGGCCGTGGTCTCTTGCAGGCATTAGCAGCGACCCGCGCAATGTCTTCACTCGGCGAGCGAAGATGAAACCGGCCAGTGGATATGCTTCCAAGCAGTTCATCCTCTCAACAGGCTCCTGGGCATGGCTCATGGGTGAGTGTGTCATGCTTCTTGCACAATCTGGCTGCCAGAGACACCCTCAGAAATGCAGCCGGCCTAAACATGCAAGATGCCGACCAGGTGTGTTCGACTTCGGGCCACTCCTCATCGGCCGTAGTGCAGATGCCCGTGCGGATGCTGCGCCCCTTGGCCAAGCCAAGCTGAAAGGGTTTGCTTTACAGCAGCAACTACTACAAATTCGATGTTGTAAGAAGTAAATTCAAACATCGTGCACTAGAGGGACCGTGTGCATATGCCTGTCCAGGTCGGATGCTCATGTCAAGCAGCATGTGGAAAGCTTCCGCATCACCAACAACTCCTTGTTCAAGGCCCTGACATGCAGCTATTTGGGCAATGTGAACGACGTGGTGTGATTGATTGGAAGGATTGTAGTCTGAGAGGAAGTAGTGGCAAAAAGCCGTGCGCAGTTTTGAGGGGTAACAAGATTAGCAACAGGGAGCAAGCTTGATCTAGTCCCAAAGTGTATTCGTATTTTTGCTTTTGACATGACGAATACTGCTACTATTATTTCTTATTAGAGTGATCTTCGAGTCGTTGTGGAGTCTAGAAGTTATCTCAGCGATCTTGGTGTGCTCTTAGAGTTCTCTGGAGACCTCCGTGGTCTTACTCTACTATCACAATTACGGGCATCGCTACTAGGATTATTGCGATGCCTAGTCTCTTTTTTGTGAAAATGACCGGGCAGTGGGCAACTGGAGCCAGGCAGATGTTGCATTCTCGCTTGCTTCTGCAAAAGCCCCACCTGCAGAAGAGCCAGCAGGCAAGAAACCTCCAGGACTTGTGCATTTGTAGCACGGTCAACAAATAAACATGAGAAGCACTTGAGAAGGGATATTACTACTTTGAGAAATACAGTCTACTTTGAGAAATACAGTCTAGTAGGAATTGTGTTCAAGGCTCCTGGGGAGCATTCATTGCAAGACTTTGTGCGTTCGGCGATGAACGGCATGCTTTCTTAATTGACCCCTCGCGGGGATGCAAGAGATTCAGGTATCCTATGCCGCCCATACTATCCTCCCACAGTCCCAGAAATCCACCTGTATCCTACGTAGCCCTGAATTGAAGGCACCGCACCTGCCCAACTCCCATAATTCGAAGACACTCTGAGATAATGTGAGGAGGAAAGAAGACTGAGGCGCCGGTGGCAGCCTTCGAGGATCACCAGCAGATGACAATAGTACTTTCCATTTTCTTTATCATCCCCCGACATAATCCCACCATAACCCTAGTTTCCACTTTGTTTTCCATTTTCCTTTTTGATTTTCCATTAGCAGTCCCGAACTCCAAGCTCGCCAGTTCGGGTGCACGGACAATGGTTGTGATAATGGCTGTATCATGCAGATGAAGTATGGACATTGACTTTCCCAAGCACCTGGGCCTTCCCAAACCCCAATTGGGTGAGGGAAGCCGTGTGAGCTACTATAAACTGCATAAGTAGTAGCCTGACCAGAGGACCATCAAAGGATGGACACGGGGTCCCTAGTGCAGTCCGTACTAAGGAACGCATGTCCAATAACGTCTGTAGGAAATGGGCTGTTCTCAAAATTCTGGGCTTTTTTAGGTTATAGATTATCCTACGGCACCTACTGCTTAGGGGTGCCATAAGGGGGCCCTAATTTTGGGAACTACCCTAAACCCTAAACCTTGTGCGCTAGGTGTGATCACGGTCTGGGCCGATGCTCAAGCTGTAGACGTCCTGGTTAGCCTCGGTGCCTCAGGTGTTGGGTGTGCTTTACTGGGGGTCCAATAACTACTGGTTTGGATTGGGTTGCCCAGCCCACTGTGACGGCTCCCTCGTCTTCACCCTTTCTGTTTGGATTTCTGGATTTGGCATCGGTGCCTTGTCGGCCCTCTTCCTCTTCAGGCATTCCTTGTTCATCCCTGCTGCCCTTCCTGAGCCTGCCGGCCCTACCCCTAGGACCCCTAGTGGTTTAGGTTGCTAGGCCTGCCTCTCTTAGGCTTAGGGGCTACGTGCATGGGCAGTGAGCCCGACCTTGCTTCGGCAATCGCCGAGGTTCAGGTTGCTTTGGAACGTCTGCGGCTGGCGGCCGAAAGGTCGTCCTCCTCCTCTCAAGGTTGGGAGTTTGTGGACTCACCTCCAGAGGCTTCTGCTTCGCGTGCTGCAGAGGGCTTGCCAAATTCTAGGGTTGCTAGTCCTCAGACCCCTAAGGTTGCCCCTAGGCGCCCAACCCCTGCCACACCTACCCGTGCTGAGACTGCCGACCTTTGCGGAGTGTCCCCAGTACTGCCTTGATATTTGTGTCAGGCTCACCTCTTCTCCCTTGTCTGCCATTGAGCGTGCCAAGCGTGCTTGGGTCTCGGGGCTTTGGGCAAAAGAGGTCTTGGAGGGCCGGTGGGCAACTCCGCTGCCTTCCCCTTCTGTGGGTCTGCGCCCGACTGTGTACATTGTGCCTCGCTGTGCCAACTTGCTGGAACCAGCCCGGTTCAACACGTACACTGCCTTCCGCCGAGCCATTGGCCCTTTGGAAAATTCTGATACCGTTTGCCATTCTTTCCCTTCACTTGCAGAGGCTCGTGTGTATTGCTACGCTGCTGGCATCCCATTGCCTCACCTTCGCCAGTGATGATGCAGATCGTGGACCTCCATTTGGGAGGAGACGGTGCAGGTCAGCCTTGTGTTCTTTCATGGACAGGTGTGTGCAGTTCGGGCGAGGCCCGACAAGTTTTGACATTGCCTTTGCTTGCCCGCGAGGGCGGCTTCCTTTGTGCTTTGCCCGCCGACCTGCATCCAGAGGTCGCTGCAGAGAGCGAGGCCCCGTTGCCCTCGACCATCTTAGGCCCTTCTCGCTTGGTGACCGTGCCTGCCATAGAGGAGGACGAGAATGGGGAGGAGGTTCCTGCAGGCTTAGATATATCAGTGATGCTACTGGACTTGGAAGTAGGGGCTTTAGCTGCGATGAGGCCGTTCGACCCCGTGACGGAAACAGGGACGGCGCATGCATTCGTGACGGACGCCCCCCACTTCGTTCCGCAGCATTCGGCCCTGATCTCTCAAGCCCGTACCTGGATAGAACAGGAGACCGTCGAAAGGCTTGCATTTTACTCTGCACAGGAAGACGAGCCTCCGGCTCCTTTTCCCAAGAAAGCTGCAGCCAAGGCCAAGCGCCTCACTGTCAATCAGTTGGCAGAGCAGGTGTCGTCTCTCACGAGTAAGTGTGGGAGCCCCAGCACCTTCAGTCCCCACGGGTACATGCCCAAAGCCTGCTCATCAGCGACCGTTTGTGGCCCCGAAAGGGCCAGGGGTGCCAATGCCAAAGGTGACTTTGCTTACGGGTCGCACAAAGCCCGTTGCTCCTCAAGGCCAGGCCTCTGCTCCAGGCCCTACCGTGGGAGCCCTCGACGCCGACCTCTCCTTTGGGCAGCCGCCCTCGCCAGTGGCCTCGCTTGCAGCCCTCCGCATCCCATGCAGACCGCTCTCCTTCAGCAAAGCCAGGCTCTGTCTACGTTGGTGGGGCACCTGGTCTCCCAGCAAGATGGGGGATTGGCCGATCTTTCCTCGAGCCCGGGGGTGATAGGTATAGGTGCCAAGGGGGCCGCAAAGAGGGAGAAACTCCAAGCAGCTCTAGCAGCCCGGTCAGGAGATTTCTTTCTTCAAGTCATGCAGACCGCCTTCAGGAGGTTGAATCCGTCAGCTCCATGCCCCAGCTCGTTGGAAGACTTGTCAGGTCAGGTGTCGATGTGCCATTATTTAGAAAGGTTCGGGGGATATGGGGGGCATCGCGAGACGGGCTACATTATGTGGTGTTTGGCTCACGTGGCAGATTGCCTTGTCCAGCAGGACATTCTGGGGGCCCAAGAGTTTCTGGCACTCACCCTTGTTGCCTTGGATCAGAGCGTGATCGATCACAGCCGTTGCAAATTCGCTTGCATGGATTTTGACGCTGTTGGAAGACCCTCCGGCCCAGCTTTTCCATGCCAGGCCTCACAGCTCGAACCCACGTTCCAGGGCCTTTTCCCCCTTATCTCCGGTGGCCTGGACAACTTGTGCCCTTCGAGTACTTAAAGGAGATCGACCTCATCACCACCCGTCGCCTGGAGAGTCTGGGCTCTGTAGCCAGGGCTTCGCCTCAGGCCCAGTGTGGAGAGACGCAGCGAGACACCTTCCAAGCCTACCCCCCCAAACCAAAAGGCGAGACCCCTGCAGCCAAGTAGGTTTTGGGTTTAGTGGGTCTAGTCCTTTTAGGGGTCCTGTTCCTGAGTTGTCCACTGCATGCCCTCTGCCGAGGAGGACCTGGGCCCCTAAATTTTCGGAAAATTTAGGGGGCTGGGCGCCCCCTGCTTGTGTGCCCTAGTCGTAAGGCGTCACAGCACTGTACCCGCCCTCCGCCTGGACTTTGCAAGCCGAGCGGCGGTACATCTCTTGACTTTTCAACTGAAGTTTCTTTTGCCACTTGGGCCGGGGGCCTTTCTTCGTACTCGCACTCCCTTCGCGGCTTTCCTCCGGTCCACCCTGCACTTGCACAGGTCTCCTCGGCCTGCTCAGCCTTCTAGGGGCTCCAGCTTCTCGGCTCTTCCCCTTGCCTGTTCTACATTTTGGCGTCTTTGAGCGCTTTTCATTTGAGATTGGTTCGAGGGCCAGGAGGCGCATCATGCACAGGCGCCTCCTTCACATTGTATGCATGGGGCTTAATTTCCTACATGCAAACTTCGTTCCACCGCCCCTGGACTCTCTCACTCAGTCGCCCAGTGCTGCACAGCGAAGCCTCGTTGCGCATTTGAGCAGACATTTGAAGGCTTTCGGTGCCTCCGTTGGGACTTTCTTGCTTTTTGATGCCGGCCGCCGCAATCCCCAATTAGTTGCACGCCTTTCAGAGCTGTCAGCCTTTTTCTCCTCAACACCCGGTGTGGCGGGTGACTCCTATGCCGACCTCTCCGGCGTTGCAGTTGATATGCGCAATGAGGTACAGCCTGCGCTTGAGCCATACAGGTCCTTAGACGCTTCCAGGTTGAAGTTGAGCGGCCGTGGCCAATGGGATCCTTCCCCATACCTGTCTGATGACCTGTACATGGCCCACCTTGAGCCTCGTACCCTGTTGCATGGCATTCCTCCTCCTCTGGACTTCAAACCTGTTTGGACAAGGGCTTGTCTGAGACGGCTGCGCTTGCCCGCCATTGGGATAGCCTTGGCCTTCTTCACCTGGAACCCGCCACGATGCCTGCCTCTGATTCCTTCCTGTTAGCTAGGGCTTTCAACTGCTACAAAGGGCCGGATAAAGATAGGCAGGTTATTGATAGGCGGGGGCGGAACTGGGCCGAGGCAAGGCTTTGTGGTCCCAGCCTCTTCATTCCTGTTGGTCCTATGCTTGGCATGCTGGAGGTCGATCCTTTACGCCAGACCGTCTTGTGCTCTGCCACTGATAGAAAGGACTTCTATCATCAACTTGCTGCTTCCCGCTCCAAGGCTGCATCAAATGCGTTGGGTCCAGCCCTGCCCTTGAGCATGGTCGATGCAACCTCCGCCTTTGCCAACTTGGTCGCTTAAGCCAAGGGCCGTGCATGCCTAACTCGAGAACAGAAAGGGGATTGCTTAAAGGATGCTCCTGTTGACGTCCCTCGGGCTTCCCTCCTCTTCGATAAAGGCAGCTACCTTGTCTGTTTTAAGGCAGTGGCCCAAGGTGACCACCTAGGGGTCGAAATAGCCTCCTGTGCTCACGGCAACCTTCTCGAGGCCTTTCAAGGGCACTCGCGAGGCACAAGGCCTTGTGATTGATGATTATTTCTCCGTTTGTGTCCAGGACCTCTGTGATCCAGGTGATCCTCTCTGTTCACGTCGCCTGGCTCAGGCAAAGCGCATCTATCACAAGGAGGGCCTTCTGGGGTCGGACGATAAGGACATTGTTGCCCAGCCTCATGCAAAGATTGCAGGCGCAGAGTTGAACGCATCTCCTGTTGTGCGGTCCTTGGGTCTGGTAACCCTTGCCTCTCCTGCCCAGAAACGCACAGCTCTTGCTTTGGTTTCTTTGGAGTCTGCCAGGCTCACGCACACGTCTGATGCTTTGCATCTCTGTCTTCTTGGCGGCTGGACTTCCGCCCTCCTTTTTCGCCGACCCCTGATGTCCATCCTGGCTGCGTCTCATAGCGTTGTGAAGGCAAATCAGGTCGACTCCAGGAAGCCTGTCCTTTGCCCTTTGCCACGTGCAGCCGCGCAGGAGCTTCGCTGCTTGCTGTTCTTTCTCCCCTTGCACAGTGTGACCTTGCCGCCCGCATAGATCCTGTGATCTATGCCAGTGACGCCTCTGAGTCAAAAGGAGGTTTTGTCAAGGCTGAGGTTGGTTGTGAGGTTTCCAGGCCTCTGTGGCGAACTGCCTCAAAGAAGGGGGGGTATAGCAGACTTTTCTCCAAGGAAGAGGCCATACTTGCTAAGTTCGGCGACCCTGAGCCGCTCTCCTTGCGTGCCGTGCGCCCACCTGATGCCCCCTGCTCTCCTCAGCGCCCTTTGGCACATGTGTTTGACTAGCCCTGCTTTCAATATGGAATGGCTGCGCACCTTGGAATGGCTGCTGTACTTGCTGCAAAACCGGAGGCTTCGTAGCTTTCTGGTTGCCCCGCCGTGTACCACCTACTCACCGGCTGCGCATCCAGCATGCAGAAGCTATGCAAAGCCGAGAGGCTTTCAGCCCACTGCCCGAAAGACTTTGCTTGGCACCATTTTGGCACTCCGAGCGCTGACGCTACTTTTCGTGGCCTTGTTGGTTGGCGCAATCGGAGTTCTTGAACAACCCCGCCTTGCCAAAATGGCATGGTTGGCCGAATGGCGCCGTTTGCTTCTCCCTGGTGCAAGAGAGTTTTGGACTGCATCTTGCAGCTTTGGAAGTATGCGTCGCAAAGAATTTAGGTTTCTTGCTGTGGGCATAGATTTGTCCCCCATCTGCAAGCCTTGTACCCGGGACCACTCCCACATACGTGTTGAGGGGAAGTATACCCGTGAATCCGCGAAGTATACCCCTCTCCTTGCTGATGCTCTTGCGCATGAGTTTTCTCAGGCACTCCGTCGCGACTCCCATGTCGCTTCCTCCGTAAAGATCAATGTTTCCGGGCTAGAGAACCCCATCCTCAACGACATCGTTCTGTCGTCTGCCTGGATCGAGGGTGATGCTTGGCACTGGAGGTGCCCTGTTCATATTAACATCCTCGAGTCTGCCGCTGTGCTCCGCCTCCTCCGGAGTCTTGCCTTTTCAGGCCCTAAGCGCATCGTTGTCCTCGTTGACTCTAGTGTCGCCCTCTGCTCGGCCGCCAAGGGCCGTAGCCCTTCCAGAGGGCTCACCCCTGTCATCAGGAAGATGGCAGCTGTCTGCCTCTTGGCCGGTCTGTGCCCGGCCTTCCACTTCGTTCCTACGCGTTTGAACCCTGCCGACTGTCCTACCAGGGACTACCCTTTGCCTCCGCCTGCGCAGGTTTATGAGGGGCTTGCAGCTCCTAAGCTCCGACGTTGGGCAGCAAACTGGGCGAGGCTCTTGCTCTTGCTCACCCCACACGTGCCTGGGTTTAGGCCACACCTTGGTTGGAGAAACTTCCATCGGTACTGTCTTGACTTCGATCAGACTCTCGGCTTTCCTGGCGAGGGGCCTTTCCTTGTTAAGGGTTGGTTTTTCGTGGTTTGGGGGTTGACTTGGGGCATCGTAGGATCCGTAGTTCCAAGCCATGGCGCCTTGCAACCGCGGAACAAGGCTGATGAAACAAGGATGCGCTCCCGCGCTGCTGTTGTCCTTCAGGAAGGTCGACCAGTTGAGACTGCCACCAGGAAGAGGAGGGAGAAGCTGTTGTCTGATTTCGTCTCTTGGCTGTCGGGGATAGACGTCCCCTTTGATTCCCTGCTTTCCGATAGCTTGGTCAATGCGCATGTGCTGAACGAGTATCTGGTGCAGTATGGTCGCAGTCTGTTTGAAGCTGGATGGCCGTATTCCCACTACAGCGAGGTTATAAACGCAATTGCTGCGAAGGAGCCCTTGCTCCGTAGGAGTCTTCAACCGTCCTGGGACCTTGCTTTCAGTTGGATGCGCGAGGAGCCGCACGTCAATCATGTTGCAATGCCCTGGCAGTTGCTCCTGGCCGCTATTGCTATCTCGTTGGTTTGGGGATGGCCCCGCGTTGCTGGTATACTGGCTCTAACGTGGGGCGGACTCTTAAGGATCGGCGAGGCTTTCACTGCGAAGAGGTCTGACCTTCTCTTGCCTGGTGACGTGAACCATACCTGTGACTTTGCTCTACTTTCTGTTGGTGAGCCCAAGACGAGGTACAAAGCAGCGAGGCATCAGTCTGCAAAGATTGACCAGCCTGATCTCTTGAGAGTTATCTCGCTGGCTTTTGGTGCCATGGGTTTTCCTCAGAAGCTTTGGCCACAGTCGTCTGCAACCTTCAGGAACAGGTTTGACATGATCATGAAGAGGCTCGAGATATCGCACTTGCCTTTCGAAAAAGCTCGCAAGCTGGACCTTGGCTCACTGCGTGCAGGTGGGGCCACATGGTTGCTGTCTTGTACCGAAGACGCCGAATTGGTGCGGAGGAGGGGCAGATGGTTGAACCATCGCACTATGGAAATATACATCCAAGAAGTTTCATCTTTGCAATTCATTCATCGCCTCCCTGTTCCGGTTCAAGAAAAGGTGTATTCGTTGGTCCGAGCCTTTGAAGGCATTTTGTCAAGAGCAGAACAGTTGGTCTTGTTGCGAACCCCGACAACAGCCTGGTATTCTCAATTCTCTGTGGGATAGTCTGCTTTTCGCAATGGATGGAATATTTGGGGTGGAAGAGTCTGTGCTTCGTACCGGGACTTCAGCAGACGCAGTGCAGGAAAATGGGAGGCGCCAGTGAGTGTGAACACCTGTGCGCTAGGTGTGATCACGGTCTGGGCCGATGCTCAAGCTGCCCACCCACCACTCCCGACATCCCACAGAGTCTTTGTGTGCCTTCGTACCGGGACTTCAGCAGACGCAGTGCAGGAAAATGGGAGGCGCCAGTGAGTGTGAACACCTAAATAGTAGCTTCCATTTTCTTTCCATTATCCCGAGAAAACCCCATAGACCCCAATATACTCTTAATTTTGGGAACTACCCAAAATATCGACTGTGGCTCTGTAGAGAGCCCAACGCCTCGAGGAGTTTCCCTTCTTGGTGGAGCCTTCAGAGCTTGAACTCGAGGTTGGAGAGACCAAGGAGCTCAAAGTCTCTTGCTTTCCGGCCTGGGGCTCAACTGGCTGGCGCTGTGTTAGGGTTTCGGCAAAACGGGTTAGGGTTTTAGGGTGGATAATAGGATATGGGCCTACATGTTTGCGGAAGCGGACTCTAGGTCTCAGCAGCAGAGATGCATTATGTGTAGACTATTGTGGGGGCTATTCAAAGCCAAAACATAGAGGGCAAACTGTCTTCAAGCCAGGTGAAGGAAGGGACCTACAACGATACCATCGTCGCCAAGATCGCTGACAACCCTGAACCTGTGGAGTTTGCCATTGCAGCTATTGGAGCCCTCCCCAAGGCCCATTCGGCTTGGGATAGCTGCCTTGCTCTGGTCTTGGCATTGCACTAATGTTTTCTGAGCTTGTTTGAGTTGTGGTTTGGGTTCCCTGAGTAGAATTTTAATTATAACCCCAAGTATACTACAGTAGTTTCCATGTTATTTTGCACTCTTCTCTCCATATAACCCCAATAGATACCCTAGGAACCCAGTACCTGCCTGTGGCCTAAAGCTGGGGCTAAAAGGGTCCAGGGTCAGGCCAGGACTGGCACCTTTGCCCTTGGTAGGGAATAAGCAAATATGTTCTATAGGGGTGATATAGGGATCATATTCTGTTAATAAGGGAACATAATCCCTATATAAGCCTTATAGATTCCCTACCAAGCCCAGACCCTGACAGGTGACTGTGGACACTACCGAGTTGGACTTTGACCGGATCCTTGTCAAGCAGCGTATGTCCAATGGAGTGAAGGCAGGTTGTTGCTGTTAGAATTTCGGCATTCTGCTTCGTGCCTTTGCTACTCTTGTTCCCGCTGTTGCAATTCTCGTCATCATTTTCCATGTGCAGCTGGAAGCTTTGATGGAGCCAACCCACAGGTGGCGAACGTGTCAGCGGTGCCGGTGAAGTGGCGACTGGAGGCATGGGCAGCATCCTGAACCAGGCAGTCAGCAGGATACATCTGAACCAGGCTGCCAACTCTGTCCCCGAAGCCTTCGAGATAGACCCCATGGAGGGCACGGGGCTTGGGGGCCGTGTTGATAAGAGCAATCCCAAGGTACTAACTCTTATTATTGCTATTGGTGTTGTTATTGCTATTGCTCTTGTGATTTCTTTTGAAGCCAAGGAATCCTTGCCGTGGCAGAGGAGAAGCATGTGATTGTCGCTTTCCGCTCTGAGACCCCTTGCACGCACAAGTTCGGGCTCTCGCTACAGATCTCGGACACGGAGGGCCTGCGCAAGTTTGAGAAGGCGGATGAGATCCAAGTAATGGCAGAAGCATTCGTGGTGGATGTTGTGCCAGAATTTCCCAATGATGCAGTGGGCCTGGACTTCGGAGATGTGCGAGTGGGAGCAAGTGTAGAGCAGACCTTCAGTGTGGCAAACAATGGCAAATACCCTGTGAACTTCGACATCAAGATTCGCCGCCGAGCTATTCAAGAAATCATGAAGATTGACTACGGCGCTCCTTCCGAGGCCGCGCGGAGTTGTCCAGCATGTGCTCGGTAGGTTTACCTGGCATTGGGCATCCAGGAATGAGTCGCAACCAATAGCCACCTACGAAGATCCGTTCATCCCCAACCCTTCCCCATCCCATACCAAGAGCTCAGTGTTTTTTCGTCCGCTGCGTGCTACCAATTGTGGTCTGAACTCGCACTTCCTCTTTAGGAGGGCAAGTTGCCTGAGCTGCAGCCTGGGCAGAAGCAGGCGATCAAGGCCTGGACAGGAGTAGGTACTTGTGTTAATCACAGAGTTATGGTGGGCTTCAGGGTTGGTTTCGGGCTGAGGGTTCAGGATCAAGTGTGCTATTGAACATGATGTGTTTTTGCTAACAGTTCTTTGCAATCACTCCCCGCTCCACAACAAAGTTCCATCGGGCTGAGCGAGTCATGTTATCACTTGGGGCGTCCTCCTGGAGCTCCGAAGAACTGCAAGCTTTTGCTGCTTTTGTGTTTTGCTGAGGTTTCAGAATCTCTCATTGCAGACCGAAACTCTTGCATGCTCCCAGAGTGCATTCCGGACGTGTGAACTACTGTCAATATCAGGCTTACTAAGGGACCATTATCGTTGGACGTAAGGGCTTTGATCGTTTAGTCTAGTCCCTGATATATCCCAGATAGGAAACAATGTCCATTAGCCATGTGGCAAATATTGTTTGTAGCTTCTCCGGAACAAGTCCTTATTTCGATTGACGCGTTTGTAGATCGGATGAAGTAATTTCTCAGCAGCGCCATGTTGACAGTTGCTACATGCCGCTCTGCTTTCGAGCTAGTCCTGATTCTTGCATGCTCTGTTGTTGTTAGTGTGCGTTGGACGTGAGTGTTACAGTATCGTTTGTATGCCGATAAGGGGGTTGAATGCACAAGTAGGCAGGGAGCTAGCTAGTTACAGCTTCGTGTCAGGTTTCTGTGGTCGCGCCAGTCGCCATGCAGTGCCCGGAGCCAAAGCGTTTTGCCCGGACGGGCAAGAACGAGGAGTTTGGTTTGTAGATGGCCAGAAGGGATGTACTTTTGAACAAGCAGGCTAGTGTTAGACTCGACTGGACTGGTATGTTGCGGTTCAAGGGACGGAACCGGGCATCTGGACAAACATGTATGCAACAGGAGCTGGAGCTTTTGGTCTATGAAGCGAAGACAGGTAGCTTGTTGGCATCCACTTGCCGCATCCTTATTGTTTCAAAAGCGAAGCTGTACCAGGTGAGCGAGTGCAAGTGGACGCTCCCTTGATCCCGCTGACCCTGCGAGCGGTCCCGGGGCGAGCACAGAAAGCGACGCATTGGGCAAATGCCCGTTTACGGCTTCGTCACGCACAACATGTTGAATGATCCACCATGACAAGGTGCACAACTCCTTCAACCTAACACCACCTCGCGGACTCAGCTTCGGCCCTGTGAAGCCACCCAGATGCATACTGAGGGGTCCTCCAAAGTTACCATGAGATCTGCAAAGCTTGTCTCTGGCAGGGTGGTTTCACTCAGGATTGGAGAGTCCAACACCCGCGAATTTGAGATCTACAATGACGGTCCTTTCAAGTGCCTTGGCAGACTGACTTAGTTCTGATTTGGGCAGGATGCTCTGCCTTCTGTTTGTTTGCAGATTCGATTGGTTCATCTTCAACGCGACTCAAATGCAAGCGGGTGCAGATGCCATGAAGAAGCCAGCCGCGGACTCAAACGGTTACGAGCAAGGTCAGGCCTACACGGATCATGTATGCCTGCCGATCCTGCGAGTGAAACAGCCCAGATGCAACAAATGTACATGCCCACACTTTAAACAATGCAGATGGCTAGACCTTGAAGCTGCCGAGGAAAAGGGCGAGCTCGTTGTGGGAGATTTCAAGATCGTGCCAGCAGAAGGACCATGCTACTGCTACTGCTACTGCTACTGCTACTGCTACTGCTGCTACTACTACTACTACTACTACTACTGCCACTTCCACCCATCGTGATGCTATTTGACGGTAGGTTATCGTCGTAAATTGAGGACGTCATGTCTGCAGTGTGTACGCACAAAACGGTGGTATTTACACGTCTGTTGTTTCTATGATGGTTTTGTAATTAATTGCGGCCTGGGCGCCATAGCTTGAGATTTGTTATAGATGAGATATGGTTTCATCCGAAGTTCCTTGCTCCCTGCACATTCCTATACCGACACTATAGTAGCCATAATAAGAAGCACAGCAGACTTATACTTCTAAACTAACAGAACCAGTGACAACAGCAACAACCGCAACATTGGTTATCAGTATGGCGCATCAAGCTTCGAAGTTTGCTCCCTGCACATTCCTATCCCCACAACATAGCAACCATAATAACATGACCAATAGACATGGTTGCGAATCAGGCTAGAATCAACACCTCGCAGTGCAAGAAGAAGTCCAGCTTCCACACACGCCATGTGCCACCAAGTCTTCAAAACAACGTTGTGGATCTTTCAAGAAGGACCTCATCTTTTTCGACATCCTCTCGCTTCAACCACTGCGCGTATCTGCTCTCCTCTGGTATCCGGCCAGTGTACACCTTCCACCCCTTTGCACCAGTCTTACGGACCCAATGAGCTGGCCTCGCCTTCTGCGCTTTCTGCTGCGCACACAGTTTGGCTTTCAGCTCACGGACCAACTTGCCAGCATAGCTCGGGCATGTTTCGGCTCTGTGCCCAGACTTGGAGCACAACCGACAACGATGCGGCATGGCGAAACCCACGAGACCTCAAGAAGCGCAACGTTTTTTTCTCCGTTTGTCTTCAGTTAACCTGTTGGCGAGAAAGAAAATTGAGCTCAATCACAAAAATGTGTTCCGGACTGTGGCCGCGGAAGGACACGGAAGGTTTGTGGAGGGAATGGCCGCAAAGGGTTGCGGAAGGCGCGCCACGTTGTACGGTACAGCGTTCCATGAGTAAAAGATACTTTGCGGGTGCGTGGAATATTCTTTGAAGCAAAAGGTAATTTGCAGGATATCAAAAAATTCAAGATGCTCTGGGCCGCGGAAGCGTGTTTTGCATCTTAACCTGAAGAGAATACGAAAACATCGCTCGGGAGCCGAAACCATGCCGTTCATGGCGCTTGGCTCTGAAGCCTTCTGGTTGCAAGAAACAACACACTTCGTGTGGTTTTCCAAGGCCGACTGCCACGATAATGTACCGTCGAAAAACAACACGGCGCGTATTGCTGCTGCTGCTGCTCCTACTACTACTACTACTACTACTAGCACTTGGTGCTGCTGCTGCTCCTGCTACTACTATTAGTGTTACTACTGTTACCACTGCTTCTAGTGCTACTGCTGCGAGAAGCGCTGCTTGAAAACAGGATCCTTGGCACCGCGCGACTCAGTCAAGATTGTGGGGACCTTTGCCGCCACCGAGCCTAGGTTCTGCCACACGGCTCCAGAGAAGGGTCCAGGCAGCGAGCTGTGCTTTCGTAATCCTTTTGCATGATATGGTCGTTTGACAGCCGCTCGATATCATGTAACTTCTGCTATGCGAGCATTTGAGTCAGAGCTTCAACTAAGTAAGCGCCAGATGTTTAAAAAAGTCCCAGAAAGCCATAAAACAAATGTTGAGCAGCTTAGACGAGTGCAAAAGGTCAGTGATATGGTCACTCGCAGCCGCGCTTGAAGCTTCAGGCGAGCACAAGATCGGCATCCACGTAGACGGGCTTGAGTCGCGCTCAGGAGGCTGAGTTTGGACACTGCAAACCACAAGAACATCATGCATCCTTGGGATTTTGCAAGTGTTCTTTTGGGTTTTGCACGATGTGCGTAATCACGATGTTCCTGTCATGCTCCAGTGGTGCAAGGGAAAGGCATTGACATTGAGACATGGCCACTTCTAGCTGCTGGCAGGAAGCCGTGATGACACTCTGGCTGGCCATGATGTCTGGGACGCAGAGTTGTGAAATCTGCTGACGCCCTGTAGACTTTTATGAAAAGGACCCACTGTGCTGATTACATATTCCCAGGATTTCTCCAAGCGTCCACTTTCTCCAACATAACAGCTTCGAACTATAGCCCACTGAGAGCTGAGGATGCGGATAATGGCTTCCGGGAGTACATCCTCACAGCACAAAGCTGCACGCCAGGCCTGGCCATCATTCAGATTATTCCTCAAGAGAGTTGAGCAACGATGTTCTCCTGCATGATATTGATCTACATCTTCTGACAGCTGGAAGCCGCGAAGGCATCGACACGGAGAGCATGCAGTCCATGTTTGAGGAGCAGTTCGTCGCACCGACTCTGGAGGATGCCATTGTACCCAGCCCCTACTGGGAAGGCTGCATATTCCTTCAAGGTCTTGGTGGGTGACAGGAAGGTCCACAAAATCAATCTGTCCATGCATGGCTCTCTTCACTGTCACGCATTCTGACTGAATGATAACATGCAAAGAGGTTGCAAGAGGTTGCAGTCTTAGGCAACCGCCGGGCGCGTGGACATCCGCGCCTTCGACGAGGAGTCACGCTACTTCTCCTTCGGCCCGGTCTCCTTGCAGGGCGCTGGCCCCATGGCAGCCCTTGTTCTTCTGGTCTCTCCAATTTGATTCGGAGCTTGCGCAGCGAGTCGGATGTAAGGAGATGCCTGCAGTAGCATTCCATGGTGGGAAGGAGGTACAGGCTAATTGTACTGTAGCCATTCGATGGGATTACATGGGGCATCCAAGTGCAGAAAAGTGAGGGTGTTGATGCAAGTTGGAAGCTCCTGGCGCCAAGGGCAGCCCTCCGAGCGCCAAGAACCTGCCAAGTTCCGGATTACAAATCCGAGCCTCGGCCGCTAGAAGCCCAGACTACCAAGAATACAAGAACGACTGCTACTACTGGCTCTTGCTGCTTCTGAAGCTGAAGATGTTTTGCTAGAAGTTGAGGAAGTGAGCACGGGGGCTTATTTTGAAAATGAAGCTTGTTCCCAAAAACATGCTGAAGAAAGCACATGTGCCGCATCTGTTCTGGCCACAGAAGCTCAGGAATCCCATTCCGTGTGATGTGAAGCGCTTCAGCCGCACTTGCCCACGGGCTTCACGTCTTGCTTAAGTTTTGGAAGCATCAGAGTGCAGCCAGGTTCGAGATTAAGCCAACGACGGCACCAACAGGCAAAGAGGTACCAGTGCTGCCCTTCGAACTCTCCAACCAGGAGCTTCAGAGTTCACACTGGAAAGGTTGGACCGCTTGCTTTGTGATGCTAAATCCGGGGGATAATGGAGAATAGCATGGAAACTATTGTATTAAATTAAACTATATTACATTATATTATACTAGTACATGATATCACATTATATCACATTATATTATAACCGGGGTTTGGGGGTTTAAAGTTAGCCGCTTCTCCAAAGCTTCATTGAGACCTCAGGAGCTGCACATACCGCCGCACGAGTACCGCTATGTGAAAGTGCGGTTCACGCCACAGGCCTGGGTCGCATTGGCCTGGGCATTCCTGAGCTACTGTATTTTACTGGCCTGGGTTATACAGGGACACATAGGGGAATGGAAAAGAAAATGGAGACTACAACTCAGTTTTTGGGTTTACGGATATTACCCCCGCAAATGGAGGATCAATTGGGCTCCTGCAGGGGATTTATGTATGATTCCAATAAACCTTCTCAAAGCTGCATATCCTGCAGCCCCCTGGTCCCTTCACATTCTCCGGAGCTACCCCCTGCTTGGTGCATTTAAGCTGCTTGTGCTGAGGGCCTCCAGCGGTATGCTGCTATCTTCGAGGCCACAGTGCCAGAGGGGAAGGACTGAGCTACCTCGTAATGCGAAGGGCAATTATTACTGTTATTATGCTTTTGAGATGTTTTACGGTAGGTGTTGAAACTGGTCCCGCTGTTGCTACTTGCATGTTCGTTGCTGTTCCCATGTTGATTGACTCTTGCGTCATCATGCAGCAGATGCGCCCACGAAGCAGAGGACCCAAAGACGAACCATCTGAAGTTTGAGCAGCTTGTCGTCTTAGCGCTCTCTGTAAAGCAGGCAGTGCGTGGGGCGCCTTACACCGAATGTCCAGTTTTCCTGCAAAGACTAGAGTGACTAGAGATTGGATTGTGAAGTTCTTCTTGTTCGCGCAGTGTGTGTGTGTGTGTCAAGCTGAGGATGCGGGGCGATGGTACTGTGCCAAGCATCTCCATGACTGGTCCGACGCTTTTTGGGGATGATGGTGGACAGCTCCTGGCCATCAACATCAAGCTAGTATGGCAAGGATCAAGCTAGTTTCGCGAGGTTGGGGCCGTCTCAATTGTAAGTGTCCTATTTTGGGTGCCCGGGTTCGAGGATCCCATGGAGGGAGCTTCAACATTATTTGCGCCCCCTATACTTGCCGCCCCTCTTCATCTTACGACACAATGTTGCCCAAGATAATTGTATTCGTCGTGACCGTGTGCACAACGCGTGCATTGCAGCCACAAAAATTAACTATGTTCGACCCCTCTGCATCTAGAACCTTTATATATATCTATAGACATTTGTCAGTTGTTCATTTTTTGGTTTATGTTTTGTTTTTACTGGATGTTTTTCTAGTGGAGTGACATTTTGGCAAAAAATCTGAGGTATGACTTCGGCAAGCTTCGAATGGGCAAGAGTCAAATGGTCGAATTCACTTTGGCCAACCAGGGCGTCATTCCGGCTACCGCACGCTGCGAATCTTGGTAGTGAGATGCTATAGTATATTATAGTATATTGTAGTATATGATAGTATATAATAGTATATTATAGTATAATATGTTAAAATATAGCGCAATGTAGTTTAATATGATGCTCGTGATTCTGAATGTCTGCAGCTTGCGCAAGCCGCAAAGCACAGTGGCAAGATTTTGCAAAGAAGCTGTAGCCTGTCGTCCGGGAGTTTCTCGGTGTCAGGACCTGACACCGAATCCTCACTTCAACGTCAGCTGCGCTCGAAGCATTCCGCTTGAACCCAAGGCTCGTTCTGCAAATGCAACCCACCAGATGGCACTCGATGGACATGCCAGCATGTAGGGATATGTGCAAGGAACATATGGGAATCTTCTTTCCTCTTCTCAAAAAGCGGGGTTTCAGTGATCGTGGATGACGTGAGTATTTTCCAACATTGTCCTTATACATACATGAAAACGTGTATTGATCTTGTTTTCCATGTGGGCATATTTATCTATACATACGTATTTCTATACACATCTGTATGCACATGCATGTGCACATGCACATGTGCATGCACACATCGTTTTTTTAGTGCAGCCTCAGAACATGTGGAGCGTATGGAAGTTGCATTTCTGTCCCATCGGTCACACGGACGGTGCTCTTGTAACTTACTTGAAGCATGGAAGGGCTCCACTATCCCCCAAACCCTTAAACCTGGATCGGGACAGTTGCTGCCGTGCCTGCTGTGAGCGATGCGCGTGTCTAAACCCTAAGCCCTAAACCGCTACTATTGGGCTCTGATGATCCAATTGGTTCTGGGGTGGTTCTTGTACCTAATGAACTGCCATCACGCTCTCCTGAGTTGCTTGTGTCCCGTGACGGGCCTCCGCTCCCTGCCACCGTCCCAGATGAGTCCCATCCCAAATAAGCTGGAGCTGGAAGAGTGGGAAGAGATGTTCTTGTCTTGGTGATGTACTGAGAGTGCTGTGTGGGCTATTTGGACCCCCCTAGCATTAACCCTGGCACAGAAAAGGTGCGAAGGGGTGTTTACAAAAAACCGCTACTATCCTCGTACTTTGCCGCCCTCAAGGCCTCGAAGAAGTTCCAGGTAAGCTTCTGTCCGGCAGAGCTGCTCGGCCACAAGAGGTGTTGGGCGTAGGTTTTAGGGTTCAGGGGTTAGGTCTTAGGGTTTAGGGTTGCATGCGTAGAGGGGGGAATTTGTCATGCCTTGCCACTTTTGTGGGTGAATCTGTGACTGACAGAGGATCAAACCCCAGCTATCCGAAACCCCCAAGTTCCAAACCTACCCTTGGCCTGTCATTGGTGTTGTACTGCTTGAATCTTAGACAACCCCCTAGGCTATCAAACGGATGCAAGTTTGGCAGATTTTGGCAGCCTCCTTCGCACTGGTCCGTAGATGTGCAAGCCACATTTTCTGGTGGGGTAGGCCTTTTGGCTTCTTGTTGCTGCATGCTGCTTGTGGCGAAGGACAGGTAGCCACCAGACCACGCTGAAGCTTCACACGCTACATAACTCCTTCGAGGACTGCTCCTGACATTCAAGTTCAAGTTATCATAGCATCAAGAATTACTACTGGCAAACGTAAGTCGATCAGTATGATAGCCATATATGGCCCGGGTAGTGGCGGTGTTGACACATTCAGCATGAATCTTTCCCCCTTCAGGACATGAAAGTCACCTTCGTTGGCCACGGTTACGTTGAAGATGTCTGCTGGGAGCTGCCTCCAAGCGACAGCCCGGCCGAGGGCGCGGCGCAAGATGACTCTGACGTGCTGCGGCTGGGCGAGACCTGCCCCTGAACTGATTGGTACGGTGTTTCTGCAAGTCTCTGCAGCTAGTAGCAGCAGAAGGAGGATTTATAGCAGCATGCATCACAAAGTTCCAGTGGCAGCAGCCCGCTGTTCCTTCCAGCACATTTCTTCCTACTGGTTTTCTTCCTGCTAGCTTCCAAGTGATGCAGTGCTTTCGGGCCGCTGTGGCTATCTGAGGCGTTGGCGGCGAGAAGGCCCGAAGAGAGGTTGTGTGTTGCTGGAAATTAAAATGCACTGATAGCCTGTGAGGTCGTCACCTTCCAGATCAACAACTCCGGAAAGGGCCTTTTGCGGTTCCATTTTCCGGAGACCCTCCCAGCATCACTAGCAGGTTGCCTGCAGCCACTCGCCTTACTTGCAGGGGTTGTCTTGTTTGCCATACAGGGCAGGCCTGACACATGCTCAGGATCACTCCATCCGTGGGCCATGTATTACCTGGCATGAAGAAGTCGTAGCCCAGCTGCAACAGTTTGAAACCTTGGCTCTACATCTTAGCCAGTGGTTTTGGAATCAAAGGATCAGCTTCACGTACCGGCCAACGGAGAGCATGGACGCTGACGTGTCAGTGCCTGTCCAAGTAGTGGCTTGGCGCAAGAGGTGGCATTTCTGAGGCGCTGACATCAGCTGGCTAGCCTTAACTTGAGCTGCATGGTAATGCATGGTGCGAGTCAGCTTTTGGGCGATTAGTTTCAATGTAAGCCTGCCGAGGCAACCATCACTCCAGAGGGTGATGTCCAGGCGCATGGATTATGAAGGCATGCGCTTCTGTTGCGTGGGACCATTCCTGCCTGAGGACTGGGATGACACTCACATGCAGGAAGCCGAGGATGAAACGGCCTCCCCGGTGCGCCCGCCAGATTTCGTTCGCATGACTTCGCACAGCCTGCTAAAATTTAGATATCTACGGCGGCACAGGCATTGCTGATTGCCATTAGAAAGCAAAACTCCGCTCTTGAAGGAAAGCTCTTGCAAGTTGACATTATCACCAGGTCCCTGAGCCTGCGCATGCCGCGGTGGATGGCAGTGCCAGGGAGATGCCCCTCAGGCCCGCCTGGAAACATGTGAGTGACCTCGTGCGTAGTTGTATGTAGTGTAAAGAGCTTTACCATATGAGCGACGGACTAAAGT